TGCGGCTGAAGAGCCCCGCGTGCCGCTCCTCCTGCGTTTTTGCATGGACATAGAATGCAGATAGCAGGGGCGACGGAACTTCACTACTGATGGTTTTCCAATCGATGTTCTCCTTTCCGCGTCCCTCGCAGAGCGGACGGAACATGCGCAGCCATAATCCGTGGCACTGCCAGTGTTCTTAGAAACTGCTGCTTGAATAATGGCATCATGATTCGTGGTCGTCCTCAGAAGAAACGTTTGGGAGTCGATTCAACAGGCTCGTGCTGATTCATTTTACTCTTACTTTGGAAAGGAGACGAACTCTATGTCTCTAAAGTCTAATGAGCAAACGGTTCTTTTACGGAGCCCGCGGTGAGATCTGCGCGCGGTAACGGTCACTAGCACTGTGAGGTTCAAACTAACTTACTTGGCGCATAGCTGTTACTTCCGATGTAACTAGTACTTCAGTACTAAACTGAAGTCACAAAGAGTGTGTGATGGTACTGCACTAGCACTGCATGCACTGCACAGAGTCAGTGGTAGTCTTTTACTTGATCCGCACAGGTTGGTGAAAGGACGACTCGTCGAGCCATGGTTGTGGGTTGGAATTCCAATCTCTACCCTTGTGGGGGAGAGGGGAGTTTGTATATCAGCTCAGTATAAGCATAATATAACCTACTCAGTTGATTATATGGGAAATATAAACCAATATACAAACCTCGGCTTCGCCTCGGTTTGTATACAGGTTTATATTTCCCATATAATCAACTGGTTAGGTTATAATTATTATATACGTATCACACCCCGGTGTGCTACACAGGTCCGACGTATACGGCCTGCGTGAGCAACTGCACCAGTGGCTCAGCAGCTACCTCAGTGAACGCTACCTTCAAGTGGCCAGACATCCTCAAGCCGTCAAGGCTCCCAGGCTGGAGTCCCCCAGGGCAGTATTCTGGGTCCGACTCTCTTCCTCATGTACGTGAACGACTGCGAGGACCACGTACCAGCTGGTGCTGACCTAGCCTCGTTTGCAGACGACACTACGCTGTATGCCAACATCACCCCCACCACCCAAGAAGATACCACCCAAGCCCTCCAGCTAGCAGTCAACAACATCTCCCGCTGGGGTCAAGAATGGAAAATAAAATTTGAACCAGACAAATCCCAGGCACTGACTGTCAGTTTCCACCGCACCCAATGCCACCGATTGACTTCAACGGATCAAATGTGACGGAACAGGAGGAGCTCAAAATCTTGGGCATCAGTTTCGATGGTCAGCTTACCTTCCGGCGCCACCTTCGTACCGTAGCCCTCCGGGCAATACAGCGACTTGGTGCTTTGCGTAAGGCTTTCTACCTCCTAGACGTGCCCGGTCCCATCCAAGCCTACAATGCTTTTGTGCGCCCAGTGATGGAGTACTGCCCTATTGTCTGGATGGGAGCGGCCCCATCCCATCTTGCAAGACTCGACCGTGTGCAAGCCCGGGCCATCCGTGCCATCGCCCCAATGTGTTGGCTGCCGAGTCTTGCTCTTCGTCGGATGGTGGCAGCACTTTGCCTCCTGTACAAGATGCATTGTCCGGATGCGCATCCCCTTCTACAGAGGATGCTGCCACCCCAGCAGCCCCAAAACCGAACAGTCCACTCCACCCGTAGTTATTCCAGAGATGTAATGCTCACGCACACCAACTGGCCAATGAACTTCCAGTCCGTTCCCGAAACAACCTGTGCCGAGCCTACCCTCACGCAGTTGTCCCCGTCTGGAACCAGCTGCCCGCCGGAGTCTTCTCTGGTCCTTTCTGCACCAAGAACTTACTTGCAACACTTCAAAGTTGCAGCCAACCGCTATTTGAAGACCAACGACTGGTCGTGGGCACATGACCATCTCTGATCATCAGCATCGTATCTGCCTCACCCCATGACTTCCAAATTCCGCTCCACATACTATTCCCAATAACGCCTGTTCTTCTTTTCTCTCCTTCTCCTCCTAGCACTGGCTGTCTTATCATTCCCCTCCTTCGAATGTACTGTCTCTCCTCCTAACATTTCGTATCATGTACCTGTCACTCCTTTCATATTTCTTCTTTTTTTGGTGCGTTTTATGTCCGCATGACGTCGAGACCTCAGGTCGGCTGAGGGCAAAAAGCCTCACGATCACTATGCTCCCACTATGCAATTTGTTGTCTTTGCCTGTGAGCTGTGATCATTGTAAAAAAAATAAAAAAATAAAATAAAACATGTACATGTACATGTACATGTAAACTGTTTGGAGTTATTTTGTTGTTGAAGATGGAAAAAAACTGTGCATCTTGTGACCTAGGGCTCAAACGGTTAGTCCGATTAACCGGTTGCAGATTTTTGCAGACCGGGTACGAAGAATTAACGGTTAACCGATAAAGATAACGGTTACGGAGTAACTTTTCTGTCAATTTTTCAAGTACCAGGTCGTTGCAAAGTATCTGTCCCCGGGGAAAATTGCGATTCCGCGGCCGCGTTTTTTTCCGCGTTTTTTGCGATTTTTAAAAGACCGCGTTTTCCGCGATTTTCCCGCGTATTTTGAACTTTTTTGTTGCACCACACGTACATACAGTGCACTGTTCGGTCAGTAACGTCTCATTGTGGCGGCTTTTTACTCAAATATGACGAGTGCTTACACCAGAGACTTGTAACTGATTGATTTCACTACATACTCACTGGAAATTGCCGCGCATGAATATTATTCACCGCATTTTACCGCATATTTACCGCAAATTCACCGCAAATTATGCCATATTATGCCGCGTTTTTCCCCGCGTTTTTTGCGATTTTTTTCCGCAATTTTCCCCGGGGACAGAAGTATACACTTTCGCAGGCTGTCGCACGCGTACGCAATTTCTGGGCTGTCAACTCGGTCATAATATTATCTGGTCTCTTGGTGTGAGAGCATGTACATGTACATGTATGAATGAGCATGCAAGAGAATGTACAATGTACATGTACATGTGTGCGCTGTACTGAATAATTATGGTACATTTTTGAATGACTATAGTCAAATATACCGTTAAAACAGAGTCCGCAGGATTGCCGTGGTTTATAGGTTATAATCGTTAAACCGACCGTTAGCTTAGCAGTTAAAACCGTTAGGGGTAAAACCGTGACCGTTTGAGCCCTAAAATTCTTGTCCCCATCTCTGGTTTGCAAGGTGGGCAGGTAGGGGTCTACACTGTATGGGAGTCATTCCGCTGCACCGCTGCTGAGTTGGATGAGGAGAGCTGGTCTGTCAGAGTATTATTATTATTACAAAGAGAGTTTGGTCTAACACATAGCTGAGCTATTCGAGGAGCGGGCAGATGTTAGTGCGAAGTTGTTGTTTTGTTCTCTTCCTGTGAATTGGCCTACATTGTAGCTATGAATCGTCACCTCTACATTGTATGTGTCGGTACGGTATGTTGTGGGATGGGTGCGCACGTATGGGTATAATTATAGACCCAACTCTTGCACTTTTCTGGAACGATTCAAAGCTACTTTCATTACCGCACCCGTAACCCTTGAGTTTTAAGTGGTGCATATTAATAAACCTTTCCTCTGTTTTGGTGCGGAAATAATTTCTGTAAGTGGTACTAGTATTCATCAGACGTTCGCTCTCGCGCTGCGTCACTGGTAGATATTTTAGCATTTTACGGCAGGCACATGTAAAAGCAAAGTACCTCAGTACTACTGTAGTATTGTACAGTGTAAATTTGCACGTCCGCGTTACCATCAGCATATTATACATGTACATAATTATACATTATTGTATACAATGAATTGTGTCGGCAGACTCGGCACGTGTGCTACAGTACATGGATTTGCTCATTGAAATCCGGTCGTGTCACTCAGGTACCAGCCGGGCGTTGCGCAGCCAATACAGTCAAACCTGTCTAAGACGACCGCTCATAGGACATTCAGAACGTGGCCTCTGTTACCAGGTGGTCTCCTTATCCAGGGTCATTTGACTGAAAATAGCATCCCTTGGACCTTGGTCCTGGTTGCAGTGGTCTTCTTGGACAGTTGGTCGCCTTATCCGAGTGGTCGCATTGACAGGTTTTACTGTAGTCTGTAGACCTGCGAACACTGGACTCCGAAATGGTGCAAGGCCAAGGCGCAAATAAAAACTGGTTACATGTACTAGTACTTGAGTGACGCGACTGGATTTCATTGACTGATTGAGCGTCACCTTTGAGGCTTTGTACCTCTCGCAAACCATGTAAAACAGTGGCTGGCTCTGGTCACTACGTAATACATGTACAGTGCTGGCAACTGAAATCCGACCCCTGAGCGGTGCGCTCACATCGTAAAGACCCGACACGGGATGGTAAAACTACAGTGCTGGCAACTGAAATCCGACCCCCCCCCCCCCTTAGCGTCTCGTACGAATCGCTAACGCGGCTAGCGCACCGCTAGGGGGGGGTCGGATTTCAGTTGCCAGCACTGTACGAAACAAAGACCGATATACAACGTGGACGCACCTCTAGGTTGTCGGATTTCAGTTGCCAGCACCGTACATGTCGCAGTCTGGGTTTCGAACACTCCCGTTATGCTTGCTCCTTCCTAGGATACGCCTACGGCCCACTTTGTGACAATGGCCATTCAAGAGGAGTGTAGGTTTAGTTCCGGAGAGCGATACATAATTGAAGCTGAATGGAATTGTTTGGGTTTTGGCGCTTTGGCATAATATTTCTGGCGTATCACGGCCGTACCGTTGTCCCAATACTCTCCCCTTGTGGTCGTCCATCCCGTCCCACCTTTGTCCTTTGACTTGTTAGACGCTCGGTGAATCAAATTCAGGGTTAGGTAAAGAAAATAATAATAATTATGCCATCGTCAATTCGCTGCATGCAACTCTGCCTCTGGCCACAGGCAGGAGTCATTGACAGCCAATTATTATAAAAATAATTACTTCGTGAGAAGCTTGTTTCGCCTGCATCATGCGCGCGGCCCAGTTCAGTCGCTGAGTGCGGAGATCCGTCAAATCCGCCTAGCCTCGCGCGCGGCTCGATCCGACCTTGCCCTTGGCTTGGGAGCTGAACAAGCAGATGCGTTGACCTGTTTCAGTGTGCGTGCTGATATCCTGCTACATACTCACGTGTGTCGTTGCTGTCACATGTAATCTACCTATGTAGAGATTGGGAACCGGAAACGAACGTGCAAGTGATAGCGATGTAGATCTACATGATTGTATCGCAACATCCCTGTCGGAAAAAAATGTTCAAAGTAAGCTTGAGTACTAGTAGCCGTTTCGAGTTGAAAGCGCGGCAGACCACTCTGTTTGACGAACAGATCACGGACGTCTTGTTCCGTGTAGATACACCGGTGCCCTTTTGTGACCATGGCTGCTGAATACTCTCACCGCGCTTCGCCGCGGCCGACGAATGGCCAACGTTCGCTTCCATCGGGTTCGACATTGGGAGCCCAGGAGAACTCGAGGGGACGGAGCTGCGCGACCGTGAGTATCTGGATGTTCCTGTTTTTACTGTTGAGCATGAGCTGTGTGTTGTTTGGCTTCGGGGCCATACGGGAACGCATGACGGTGAGCGTTACTTCATGAGTAGATCAACTGCTGAGTGCTGGACACTAGAAGTACAAACAAGAGATTTTTGTGTAGCCGGAGATGGTCAGAAAGTAACAGTACGTCATAGAATCATAGTCGGCGAAAAATCTGGAAATCGCGTTATTCACTCAGTCTGACAAGAGTCAGTTGTCAGTAGTGACTGCACCTCCTGTATAAGTACAAATTTTCGTTTGGAATTAACTTTCGCTATAAACTAAAGTTTGGACCAAACTAAAGTTATTTTTCTGAACGTTAGGGGTGACAGACCTCGACCAAAAACGAAATTTAAGCCTGCTGGTGGAGAGATACTGTAAATCAACAAATTTTCGCCGGTGAAAAACTTTCGCCGATCTCCAAAAACACTTTTCGCCGCCGCTAAACTTTCGCCGTAGGCGTGCAAGAGTCCAAAAATGTGATCGATGTTTCGTGTGCGCATGTACTAGTAGTATAGTAGTTCAAAGGTCTGTGTAGTTTGTACACCCCTGTCTACTGTACGCAATTTTTACAGAGAATTCGGCGGCATAAGAGTGACCCAAACTGACATTTTTTGGTTCTGGTGACACATTTTGGCCGGCGACTAATTTTGGCCGATTGACATCGACCGGCGAAATCAGCGAAATTAAATCGCCAGCAAAAATTTGTTGATTTACATAACGAAAGATTTCGTGAACGAAATTTGTACTTATACAGTAATTTTCAAATTTGCTCCAATCGCTTCGATTTAGGTTTCATTCGATTTCTCCAAAGCGTAGCATATAGGAAATCTGCAAGTATTATTCAAATCCGCCCAGCCATTCTCGAGTTTTAGGGATTTGAAGTGCACCAATTCAGACTTTCGCTGGAAACAGAAATGAATGGAAGTGATGGGAGAATCGAGTATACATGTAATTATTTCAAGACAACTGCACAGTCAGTGTTTTTTTTGTTTTTTTGTTTTTTTTCTACAAAATCCACATATCTCCAGACACTGGGGTGAATGATGGAGTGTGGTGGTGGGGCCCATTAAGCTCCGCCGACCAGAGGTCTCGGCTTCATAGCTCCATGGACGCACCAAAGTGTATGCAGTATGGTGTACAGCACACATGCATCGTCACTCGAACTGCGTATACAATGCTGCATACGTTGGTATGCTGGCACAACACAAATCCGCTCACAAAGGAAGACGAAAGCGTCTCACCGCCTTGAAATTTTAGATGGCCAGAAGTTTTTTGACGCTGCAAACGATGGAATAGTCCGCGGCGCTGCAACCTGACCAGAACAACCCGAAAGCCCCCCCCCCCCCCCCCTGAAAACGCGCTGAGCGCAGAGTACCTAAATGTCGTCGTATGGAGACACAGGCCCGTCGCACCGGCTTTAGACGTGGGGAGGCCATGGAAGCGGGGTCAGGGGATTCTCCCCTGGAAAAAAATTCAAAAGTTGAAGCCAATTGCAAGCATTTCCGGGCATTTGGTGCCATCCATTTGTTTGTTTGTAGTTTGTATTCTTCATTTAGAGTGGGAAGTCCAAAACAGGCCCAAGCCTAATAACAATGGTCCCACTAGTGAGGGAATGCTGTATATCTGTGCATAAGGATCAGTGAGTGTAACAGCAACAAGAAGGGAAAGAAAAAGAGAGAAGAAAAACAACTCAAAACAAGAGTTGCGACTTGCATAGGAAGAATAACGGAAAGAGCAGTGCATACAGCATTTATAAAGAGGCTTATTTATCTGGTAAGCAAAAAGGCAAGAGCCATTGGCTTGAAGCGATTGCGTTTTCTTTCTTGCCTGACCGCAGCGGGGAGCTGGTTCCATAAGATGGTCCCAGCATAGGTAACACGTTTGGCAAGATATGCAGTTGGGCTGGCTGGGACAATCAGTAAATTGCTGTGCCCACCACGAGTTTGAGTGGAATTACTGCGGCTGAAAAAGTTAGCGAACAACATGCTGATGTTAGAGGAGTCATGGAGACAACGCCAGATAAAAACCAGAAGGTGCATGTTGGCGTATGTGGTCAATGTTTGGATGTTCATGCGTGTAAGAATATTGCTTGTGGGTGTCCCGGGAGGTACCCGACAGACTGTGCGTACAGCACGCTTGAAGAGCCCATTAAGCCGTCGACTTTGATACGCCGTGAGGAATGGTAAGTAAGCAGAAGCGGCATACATAAAGTGTGATAAAATGAAAGAACGAAAATAGGCTATGCGACATTGAATAGGCAGGAATGTAGCGTAGCGTCTGAGCATGCCAACTTTTGACGCGACGCCCCGTGCGACGTGGTCAACCATGGTGTTCCAGCTCATGTCCGCATCAAAGTGGAGGCCTAAATATTTCGCAAAGCGAACAGTTGGCAGAGGCAGTCCATTACATTGCACTTGCAAGTGAAATGTTTGAGATCGTACTGGCGATATCGGCATGATCTGTGTCTTCGTTTCATTCAAGATGAGACCGCGGTTCTTAAGCCAATCGGCGAGGTGCTGGACAGTACTGGAGAGATTTTGGGACACCTCATCCGTGCTCATGCTGCTGGATCTAATTGAGATATCGTCACTTGTGTTGCTTACAAGATCTAAGAGGGGCATGAGTGTCAAGCACCTGCAGGAAGCGATTATTCCACTCCGTCCACATGTCTGTTGGGCTGCCTTCAATGCTGCAAAGATTCTGCTGAGTCAAGTCAACTTTGAAGCGTGCATGATTTATCCTGCGGTAGTTCCGGCACACCATTGATGTCTCGGGACTCCTTGTCGGGTCAAGGTAGAATTCACTTATGACTGCTGCATGGTCGCTGAAAGCCACGGGATGGATCGTTGCCACATTGTCCTGGTCGAACGTATTGAAGAACAGATCCAATGTGGTGGCTATGGAATTAGATGCAAACCGTGTCCGCTGATGAACGCCCTGGTGGAGACTGTAGCTTGCCGTTAGATCAGACAGGAAATGGAGCTGGTGATCTGGAGCCGTTGATGGATCCACATTCACATTTAAGTCACCGCACAGTATAACGTTCCTACCCGGAGTGATAGCTGAGTGTAGAAGACCATCAAGGCGATCCCAGTAGCCAATAGGTTCAGAGGGAGGACGATAGATTGTGCCAATCAAGCAACTCCCACCAGTGCAGGGAATCTCGCCCCAACAACTCTCAACTCCAGCAGCAGCTATATCGCATCTCGGCTTGAGAGGCAAGGATGTTCGGGAATATAAGCAGACACCTCCACCAACTTGATCCTCTCGATCAGCACGCAAAACGTTGTAACATGCCAAAGTGATTTCTCCATCAGTAATTGTACTATCCAGCCATGTCTCGTTCACACAGACAACATCAGGACAATGCTGGCGGGTGAGTTGTGCTAGGTCATTAATCTTGTTTCGAAGGCTCCTGATGTTTATCAGTAGAACTTTCAGCTTAGCGTCACCACTCAGTCCTCGCCTGTCTCTGAACGGTGCTTTCGGATGGCGCAATCTACCCGGAAAGAAAGTTGGAGCCTGCGCATTCAGTTTCAAGGTGTTCATTGCGCCTCTGCCTGGTCGGACCTGAAGCGCCAGTCACGGAGAGTGTATGCAACTGTTTCAGGCCAGAAAGACTTTTCACTAACTTTGTTCACATCCTGAGCGTCAACTGGTATTCTCGCGGAGGCCGTTCTGAAGTATTCAGAAGAGTATATAATACATTGTACTATCTCCATGTCCCGATCTCTGCACCACTCAGCGATGGACTGTGCCTGGCAACCATATGGGATTTGTCCCAGGTAGAGAACTTTCCGCGGGCCTCTGGGGACGGTGTCTAACGCAGGTGTCGGGTTGCTATCGGACGTACGTTCACGGATGTAACGTGAAGATTCGTGGCGTCGGATGGGGTTTGTCTGCGCCTTGCGACTGCCAGTCTGCTGTTCCCCAGGACTTGTAGCCTTCTCCGTCCCGGATGGTTCTGATGCTAGCTGCCTCTTGAAGCGTCGACGCTCCTTCCTGGACATGATGTCCTCGAAGGGCGCCTGATCAACCGATATGTCCATTGGAAGGTCAATAGGGGCAGTATCTCTAGATATGGCCTGTGAATACAACTCCTTGGGTTCATTCCTGGCAACGTCTTCAAGCACCGATCCTTCACCTCGCGATGTGGCGTGTAGGTCTCTTTGTGCTCTTTCAATCTTCGAATGGCTCGCAAGGGGAGCAGTCATCTGCGGCCGGGCATGCTTGTGCTGTTTCCTGCCGCTGGCCCTCTCCAAGTCGCCTACTCTGTAAGAGAGAGACGCCAGTTCCCGCTTCACAATCGTTTCAACCTCTGATAAGGGGATACCGTTCGCCTCTGCAGGCGTGATCTCCCGCCCCCGGTCGTCTCTCAGCGCTGCCAACTCGTCACTGATGCTAACGACAATCCGCATCATCTCACCCAAGCGCTCAACGCCTCCAGCAGCTGATGGGTGTAACACACCCACATCAGCCTCGCGAAGTTTCCCGACCACCTCCGCGCGAGCCATACTGTCCAGGCCATCAATGCTATGCCGCCGAGCTAAACCTAGCAGTTCCTCGAAAGTGAGAATGGCTAAGTCTACGACGTCACCCAGGCTCATCTTGCACCAGATTACCGCAGACATGGCCGCAGCAAGTCTCAAAAATAGCGTCAAGACAAACCACCAGAGTGAACAGAGGCGCGAGCACTCCACTCCAGCGCGTGATCCAGCGCATGATGCAGCGATGTTGCGATGTAGGTAATCCAGATAGACGCAACGCACCACCCAGCCCTAGTGCCAAGGATTAGACAGACCTGGACCAGGACTTCATCCAATGGCAGGACACTGCCAACTCAACCAACCTGAAGATATAACTGCAGCCCCAGTCAGCTCCAGACCAAACAGCAACCAAGCAACTCAGCAGCCAAGCAAGCTTCTTCCTTCAACCAGAGCATCCAAAAGTACAACTGGCAGCACCTACGCAGCAAGTCTCAAAAAAATTTCAGTGTAACTTCAATGAAAGGTCTTTTGGTTCTGCAACAATTTGCCAACAAGCCAAGAAGACGCTACAATTGGGGACAAGGATTCTTCATTACCCTCCCCCAGGAAAAAATTCAAGAATTGAAGCCAATTGCCAGCATTTCCAGGTATTTGATTCCACTTCAGTGTAACTGCAATGAAAGACTTTTTGATTCTGCAACAAAACACGATCGGGGACAAGGATTCTTTATTATTTGCCACGTTTGCGCTGAGCTGCGATCATCGCACTTTGTTGCAGTGTGCTCCAACAAAAAGCCGCAAAAGTGGGGCGGCCTCAACCTCCCCAGCCGCCCCGGCTGTGGCAGCCTTGAGACGGGACTTCGAGTCTCAAGGGCACGAACATCTCCTCTCTCAGGTAAAGCAATACACTCGATGTGATGTTCTAGAATTTGACCTGGCCACGCCGAAATGCACTGCGATGTCGGATTCTGCAATCGGAAGCATAGAAACTTGCTTCCAGAAATCAGCGTCTGGTTGCGAGGTAGTGAAGTCACGATTTTAAGTTGGATCGTATCCGTGACTACGAATCACGAACGTTTTATGGAGAAGTGCCAGAAATCTGATACATAACGTCACTATCAAGTTCAAACAAACGGCGAGGAGACAAGAAACCATTTTCATCGTTCTATTGCACATTGCCTTCACCGTTTTACATTGCATGAATAAGGTATACACAAATGTCGATTCAGCTCGTCTTATTGATTGTGTTAGCTCCGATACCGGATTGGCTCTCATTGCTAAGGGGAACGAGCGGGAAATACGAATAGTGAGTATGTATGTTCATATTATAAATTCAATTATTACACCTGTGGTGATCTAACTATCAAGGAACTTCCACAACAGTTTACCTAAGAGTAGTAATATTTCCACTAAAGCTCGCCCATAGGTCGCCGGGTAGACCGAGGTGCCCATAACTTCGTAAGGGCCGATTTCCACTACGGTACCGTGAGTGCCGTGCCGTGAGTACCCGTGGCGATTTGCTCACGTGAGGGGCAGTTTTGGCGCGAGTTCATTCCGTGGCTCCTGCCGTACCGCGCCGTGGACATTCCGGTGCCGGGGGCCTCTGGGAGGGGGGGGGGGGGGTGGGGTGGGGTGGAAATGGCATGCCGTGGTGTTCCGTGAGGTTGAATGCAGTGAGTAGTAGGTATTTTACTACTCCCTGAAAGGAAGTTTTTTCTTTCTTTTGTATTTGTGGTGCGAAGGTTTTTCTTGGCTTTTGGCTTTTCGATTGGTTGATTTTTGAGCTTTCTCCAGTCATCTCCCCGCTATTTTTCCTCAAGACCAAAGTCAGAAATTAATAGAAATGGTGATCCGGCCTGCCGACGGAATGCACGGAATGACTGTGCGCAGGTGTAAATCACTTTCAGCTTCAAGCTCGTACCGTGGGGTACACGTGACCTGCCCAAATAGGAATGTATAATAAAAAGAATGGTGCTGTCCTTTAAACCCATTCAGTGCTACTGGGCCTTGCCTACAGTAAGATCGGGCGCCGAAGAACACCTCGCCGAAGAACACCCAGGCTGGAAAACCGGCAAAATTTAAGAACAGTCCAAGCTAGAATTATCAGATTTAAGAACACTAGATCTACATTGTACGTAGATCTACATTGTACATGTATGGGAGGTGAGTACATGTCATGTACACGTGTAAACAGTAACTGCTACATGTACAGTCATTCCCATTTACGACACCCACTAGTTTAGAAGTACTACATTGCACTACATGTACATGTACATGACAAACGTCATGACGTCACTCGACTCGCCGCGCGCGCGCGCGCGCGCCGGTGAATAAGAACGGTCTGGCTAGAATCAAAAATTGAAGAACTTTCCTAGGCTGCGCTCGAGCCCCTGTGTTCTTCGGCGCCTGATCTTACTGTATGGTACTCTGCATATAAATGCTAAAAACAGGTGCAAATAGCAAATTCTAAAACTCCAGGGTTCTGGCAACCGGGGTCCTCAAATATTTTGGAAATGATCGCCAAAACTATCAACCACAGGGTGACAGAACCGATACAGTCCTCAAAAAGAATAGTGCAGCAAAAAAGGGGATGTAAGTGGGGTGTGGGGGGGGGGGGTATATAATATTATTATTATTTATTAAATTTTGAATGCATCTGTGTGTGTGTGTGTGTGTGTGCGTGTGCGTGTGCGTGTATGTGCGTCTGTGTGTCTGTCTGTTTGTGTTAATGTGTATGCATGTTTCTGCGTCTGTGTCCGGCGTGTGTGTGGGTGAGTGTGCATTGTGGGAATATTCAATTGCAGAACTACAGCACAAAAGACCAGGACGTTGACTTGTGCTTTGCTCGCTTCAAGATGATCTCTGGCAAGGTTGTGAATGTTCAAGTAAGAAATGTGTCGTACGAGAAGAGTTCAGATGTAAAACAAAACAAACGCCAAATTCGAGAAATTCAGATTTTTAACTCAATGTAATCAACAGGTCTAGGGGCACCCTCACACTGAATTTCACATTCAAAATCGGACAAGAACTACTCGTACTTCAAAACTGGTACCCAAAGGTGGATTTAGATACGAACCCCACATAAATTGAATCCATTTTTGGTCAATTGTCCGAAAGTTGCTGCAACGGATACGTCGCGTTTTGCATCTCTTCACACAAGCCAACTAACCTCATCCCACCACACACATTATCAGTAGAGAACATGGCTGATGATGGTCCGCCGATACAAGCAAGGGAATGCGTCGAGCACTCGGTCGCGTTGTGTCGTAGGCATTTAGGGTGCATAGTACTGCATACTGTACTTGCGTTCAAAGCCAAAAGGTTTTGAGTTGTGCTTCGCTTCCTGTCTGTGTGTGGATACTCGGCGTACAGATTGCGTCACGTGATCCAGTCGAGAGCGTCACGCAGCGCCTGTGCAAACTCTGCGGTAGGTGTTCAGCGTTCTAGCTATGGGGGGGGGGGGGGGGGGGGTAGGGGGTAGGGTATGGGGCAGGGGAGGGGCGAGGGGGGGGGGGGGGGAGGAGGGGGTGTTCAACGCTACTTCTGATAGCACACCATCCTACTCATTTTTAGATGTTCGTGTTATTTTTAGTCCACAAAGCAAACCTGCGACCGCGAATCGATCGTTCCAGGCGCTCTGTGCACCTGCACATTGCATTTTTTTGTGACAGGGCAATAGGAACATGGAAAAAATGAGTGAACTGTTTGTATCCCCCAACCCTCCCCTAGAATTGTTCCTGGCTAGAACGCTGGTGTTATTGTTGCACATGATATGTACACGCGCACAGTGCTGCTCGACGGAATCCGATCACCGTGAATCCGATCACCGTGAATCCGATCACCGTGAATCCGATCACCGTGAATCCGATCACCGTGAATCCGATCACCGTGAATCAAGTCAATGCCCTGAAAGTGTGAACACTGCAGTGTCCCGGCACAGCGCTTGGCGTTGCATTGGCTAGCTTGATCGGATTTCATCTCATCGTCTTTCATTATTATCTTCAAGCTGGGTATGTGAACGTAGTGAACAAGCAGAAGAAGAAAAATTGCCACCGCTGTACAAGGCCAGTGTGGGGCCCAAGTGATCGCCCGTCCTCTTGGATATGATACAGTCCTGTAGTCCAGGGATTGCAGTGTGCTAGCACGGAATGCACACTGGGGGATGTACTATCGAGCAGGACATTGAAATCTGATGGGATGACCGGGGCCAGCGCCTTTACTGCTTTTAGCGTGTTCATTTCGCCACATTTGTGGTAGCAGTGTGTTCCAAATGCGATCGTTTGATTCTGAGGGATCCGGTGGATCTGGAATCTCGATCTTGATCTTGATCCGATGAAACGATCAAAGCCTAAGCACCATTTTCATGTGACCTGCACCATATAGCTTTGCATGGTGGAGTTACTTAGGTTATGAGGTCGCAATACGTACCATGTCGCATGCTGAATATTCTTCCCTGTGTTCTTTTCAACAGTATGTACTCCATTATGTGTGGACATTGAAAGATCAGTATGTGTTTCTTTGATTGTCTGTGCGTTCGTTTGTGTATGTGCGTGCGTACCTGTGTGTGTGGGGGGGGGGGAGGGGTATACGTGTGTGTGTGTGGGGGGAGGGGTATACGTGTGTGTGTGGGGGGGGGGGGGGGGGGGCGTTCATGCCTATTTACATCCGTTCAAGTCTGTGTGTATGTGTGTGTGTGTGTGTGTGTGTGTGTGTGTGTGTGTGTGTGTGTGCGTGTGCGTGTGTGCGTGTGTATGTGTGTGTGTGTGTGTGTGTGTGTGTGTGTGTGTGTGTTTGTGTGCATGTGTCACTGTGTGTGTATGTGTGTGTGCATGCTTGTGTGAGCGCTCGTATCTCTGCGCCTGTTTCTGTGTTTTTGGTGCATTGGGACATGCCATCTATTTACAGATTTGTCTAATCCACATGCGTATGATCTAGCATATCACCGAATACCACAGACTCTACGAGCATCCACGTTACCGAATAAGGTGAGACTTGGCACTACCGTATTTTCCGGAGTGTAGTGCGCACCTTTGTATAACGCGCACCCCCAATCTTCATTGGGGGTGCGCACTTCAATCTGCATTGAAGTACATGCCTTTCACATTCGGAGCATAGTGCGCACCTGCGATCTAGGGCCTAAAATAGCACATCTAAAGTGCGCACTATACTCCGGAAAATACGGTACTGTAAATCGCCCAATACTCGCATTACTCTATTTTCGCAATCGCTCAGAGTCAGCAAGTTTTGGATGGCAAATGTTTTCGCGGATCACCGTGGCAACACACATACCGTACTCACTGGATTAGAAGCCTCTCTTGAATAATAGCCCTCCTACGAGGACTGTTTGAAAAAATGCAAGCCCCTCGAATAGAAGCCCGGACTACTATTCGCAAAGCATGGGGTGACTAGGTAGTGGCATGTATGAAGGTCAAGTCTGCAAAAAACATCTCGTGCATGTTCCTATTGGTACAAGTCCTGGTCGATGTAGTGTGTGCAAACTAACTCGGAGCCGAGTTGCTGTGAATATGAAAGTTTTAGAGATTCGATTGGAACACCGGGTACTGGTATGGATTGAAACAATAGAAGCCCGTCTTGAATAGAAGCCTTCTCGAAATTGGTATTGAAAAAATAGAAGCCCCCGGCTTCTAATCGAGTGAGTACGGTACCCGCACTATTGAAGTTTGATTTCACGATGGTTAATTAATATTCGCGTTATGCTCGTCTCGCGAAATACGCGAACATGGATACATCGCGAACATTAGTCTGTTCACAGTATAAGAATTCTTACTGATTATAACTTTGAAAAGTGGAACAATAACTTTGACGCTAACCGGAAAAGGTTGTTCAACCAAGCAGGGGCGAGGGAGCGTAATACTCAATCTCCAAAGATAGCGGAGGTTGAGTCTATTTTTGTTTATTTTATTCCGAGCAATATATGGCTGGGGTGGCCAATAACCACTTTGCTTGGCGATTGCAGGGTTTTTTATAGCCAAACCGCGGCTAACGAGGAAAAGAGTTTACCATGTGAAGTTCATCCACCGTCCATAGCGGGCTCGATTTGCCGAAGGCAAACAGCGGAATACAGAAGCAAGAGGAACGAGCACTTGCTGTTTCGGACCCCTGAGTTTCATTCTCCTGATTCAATCATCAGACGAAAATTTATACGTTTGCTTAAAAAAAGATTTGTTCTCACCGTCGTCAATGGAACAAGGCCTGGTACATTCCAGTAGCGCATCTAAGGCTGTTTTTTTGTTTGTTTGTTTGCTTTTCCTTTTGTTTTGTTTTTCTGCTGGTGTGCCATCCCTGCACAGTCGAGCCCTCAAAGCAAGAGGAAGTCGTTGAAACACCGGCTTCAGAAACCAGACCACCACACTCCAGGTAGTAAGTATCTGCTTGCCTTTAGGCACTGTTTTGTCCGAGCCAAAAGCTATTCTGTCGACGTTGATAGCTAGTCAAAGTTGGGTCCTTTGTGTTCTTATGAGACCAGCGGAGGATAAAGGTAAAATGTGTACATCTGTGCAGATATGTGTGTGTGTGTGTGTGTGTGTGTGTGTTTGTGTGTGTGTGTGTATGTGTGTGTGTGTGTGTGTGTGTGCGTGCGTGTGTGTGTGTTTGTGTGGGTGTGGGTGTTTGTGCATGCATGCGTGTGTGCGTGTATATGTACTTGCATTCATGCATTTGCTGATGTTCAGACTACACGCAGCTGGCGGACCGACCAGAAGCCGCCGGTCAGGCACCTCAGCAGTGGTGCCATCGTCGAAAGGAAATGCAGGAACTGGACAAGAAGTGGGCGCAGCACTCGGCAAGTCTCAGCATGACGGGTTAGTAGGCTTGTGAACACTCTCGTCTATTCTCGCGCACTTGCCGTGTTTCACCTAGTACCGTATTATCCGGAGTACACGCTCCATTTTGAACACTCGAAATTCATCCGAAAAAGCGGGTGCAGCTTGTTCTCCGATGGTCAAATTAACGGTGATAAATAGCGTAGATGTCTGTATTTCGTGGCGACAAATGGGGGATGCGGATTATACTCCAGTGTGGTTTATACTCCAGTGTGGTTTATACTGAGGTAAAACAGTACTCTCGTTTTACGCAGACTGTATGCAGTCAAGCATGTGTTTTTTGTTTTTTTGTTTTTTACATGATAACCACAAACTATAATGGTGCAAGTGCCGGCAAAAATGCACCGAGACGCACATAGCGATGGTAGCCGAAGCAGTGGAGGCTCGGGCAAGAGCAGCTTAACCCACAAGCGGTCTCGGCTTCAGCACTGCTCGTGCGCGCCAAACAGAAAAAAACATACGTAGGCAGTGTAACGGAATCTCAGCCATTCCGTTCCCCGGGACGCAGGATACAAAGGACAAGACTTGTTTGTTACATTATTTATATTGACAAGACGGAAATGGAGACAACACTCAAAGGGACGAACAAGAAGACTGACAAAAGGACTCTCGACTACAATATCGCGCATGCTCATATCACACATGCACGCGACTAGACGAGACAGTTTGGGGAATGCCATCACACAGGAAAACAACACATCATTTCACAACACCTGCCCCCTTGATGACATTCCACAAAATAATAAACCGACACCACGTTCCACATGCACAACAGCAAAAGGCGCCACAGCAGAACAGAAAAACGAAAACCAACCATCAACCTAGAGCCGACGCTCTAAAATAATATCCGGGCCACGAAACAGGGCCAAACAAAAACCTAGAGCCGACGCTCTACAACCAGGCCACGCCACACAAGGCCAACCGAAACACGGGAGCCGAAGCTCCAACAAAATAATAACATGCGCACAGCCGCACTAAATAAATCTACAACAAAAACAACGGAGAACAACAGAACGAATAGAAGAGCAACAGACCGACAACAACCAAACTGAAACAACACAGCAACAAGCAACGAACTGAACAGAGAGAGAACGACACAGCGAGCAAGACAACAAGACGAACAACAAGGACGACACACAGTCGGTGACGCCAGACTCGTCCACTGTCCTCTGGCGAGCCACGGCCACACGCTCCGTCGCGGTTTCTGCCGTCTCAGGCTCCAGTCCACAGTGACTGTTCTAGTCCATCACCTTCTCTGCCTCCTCTCCGCGTCATCTTCCGCTCCCACCAGCTCTTCGCCTCCTCCGCTCCCACGCTCTGTTTACTTCAAAGTAACAGTCACTTCGTTGTTGACGACGACGAACAGACTCACTACAAACTAACTCATCCTCTGCGTCCCGGGTTTCGGCACCACGTTGTAACGGAATCTCAGCCATTCCGTTCCCCGGGACGCAGGACACAAAGGACAAGACTTGTTTGTTACATTATTTATATTGACAAGACGGAAATGGAGACAACACTCAAAGGGACGAACAAGAAGACTGACAAAAGGACTCTCGACTACAACATCGCGCATGCTCATATCACACATGCTCGCGACTAGACGAGACAGTTTGGGGAATGCCATCACACAGGAAAACAACACATCATTTCACAACAGCAGTAAATCAACAGATAGTCGGCGTGAATTTATTTTCGGCTATCTTCAGCCTGAGCCGTCGAGGCCTAACATTTGCTGCGGGCGAAACATTTGTTTGATTCAATATTATAAGCACATAGCATAGAGGCAGGCGGCGGTGCTGGCTGAAATCGTTACGTGGCTGAAAAGGGATGCAGGCTTTGGATCGGGATTTTTCCCACCCTGAGAATTTGCGGATGTGCAGTGCACTAAAGCTGTGTTCACAATTGGCGCGTGTACGCGTGAAACCGCGCGTTTGTGCGTATTTTTGCTGGCTTTTTGGGGCGCCATGCGTACGGAAACGCGCGGAAATGGAAATTCCAACATGTTGGAATTTTCGACGCATATCAGGCGCGTACCAGCCAGCGTACATGCCAGTCACTTTGACTGGTGGGGTCAAAAAATTAGTACTCAAATGTGTCACATGCCCTAAATACGAGTCGAATTGCTGCTTTTTGTGAAAGCCTGAGCGCGCGTTTGGGCACGCATGAACCGCAAGCGTACCGCGTCCAGGCGCCAGTTGGGAACACAGCTTAACGCAGAGGTTCCGCACTACGTACAGCTGAGCAACTTTACGTAAGCGGGCGGGGAAAACCCGCGAATTCGCGACTTTGCACTCCACGTACGGAAAGTTGGCTACGTGGAGTGCAAAGGTAGGGCTCTGAAAACGGAGGCACAGTAAAACCTGTAACTAAAGACCACCGTGACTAGCGACCAGCCTGGTACTACAGTAAAACCTGTAACTAAAGACCACCGTGACTAGCGACCAGCCTGGTACTACAGTAAAACCTGTAACTAAAGACCACCGTGACTAGCGACCAGCCTGGTACTACAGTAAAACCTGTAACTAAAGACCACCGTGACTAGCGACCAGCCTGCTACTACAGTAAAACCTGTAACTAAAGACCACCGTGACTAGCGACCAGCCTGGTACTACAGACCACTTTGCCAGGCACGGACGGTCTCACATTCGCATTTAGTTGTGCGGTGCAAACCTCTAACTAAGGACCACCTGCCACTAAAGACCGCTTTCTCTGGCCCCAAGGGGTGGTCGTTAGTCACAGGTTTTACTGTGCTCCGTAAGTGGATTTGGGTACAAGTTTATGACTCCCTCCCCTGGTCGACCCCGGTCGTACACTGCTGTATTCCGAGTCGACAAGGGCAAGTACTTGATTCGAAAACTCCGTATAGCAGAACACAGATCCACATGCAGTGTACGTTCCGTGGATCGCCTTTGTGTTTCACTGACGTAATAACGTCATGCGAAACCTCTCTAATACATCCAGACCCCAAAGTTACGGGCACTTCGGTCTACCGGGCAGGCACCCTTTTGGCGGGTTTCAGTAGAAATATTACTACTCTTCCGTCACTTTTTGTTGATATAGTGATGTCACATGCCGTATCTATGGCTTTTCCCCATCAAAATGTATGTGATTCGGAGTTACGGGCAGTGCCCAGTCCCGGACCGCCCGGATAACCGAGATATGAGTGTGTTGTGAGTTTGTGGCTTACCCTGGATGCTAATCCATCGCCACTGTGCCTACTTTGCCGTGTTTGTGCTCAGCTGCCACTCTAATGGAGCCACGCAGCGCGTTCAATGAACATGGATTCGACACAGCAGAGCACATGCTGCAACTGATGTAAGCTGCAGGGGCGTAGCCAGGATAGTGATCAAGAGGGGTGCTACGACTTTCCCCACATAAAAGTACATGCACTTATGTTGGTCCTTTCATGCATATTATTCGATCGGTGAATTTGGGGTGTGGGGGGGGGGGGGGGGGGGGGGGGAGAGCAAAATTCGCCTCTAATTCGATGCTGAAGATCAATCAGTGAATGGAAAATATCCAACCAGGGAGTACAGTCGTCCCTCTCTAATCCGGCACCCTTTGCAACAGCGTTTTCTGCTGGATAAACAAGGGTGCTGGATTATCAAATCCTGCCCTCCAACCCGGCCCACATGTTAACATACATGTTTGTGTCGTACGTCAAAACGTAGGGATTTTCTGTGTCAATCCAAGTACTTTGTGGAATGCATGTCTTTAACATACACTTGCCGGGAATATTCTATCCACTAGCATAGGATACTCTCAAGTGTATGTTACATGTACTGTTGTGTATGTTACAAGGGTCCCTGACAGTATGCGATTTACAACTGCTGGATTAGAAAATCGAATTATATACAGTTTGATTGATTTGTTGCAGAAAATCGCTGCTGGAGGCGGAATTCAAGTGCCGGATTAAGGCTGCGTTTACACGGAGACGAAACGAAACGGAACGAAAACGGGCTAGCCTCGAATCGTTTTCAAACCATTTACACGAGTACGGCAAATCGTTTTGAACCGTTTACACTACAACGGAAAACGGGCTATCAGGCTAGAGTTAGCACGTGCTGGCTTGGCGCAAGGGCGGGAAGTAACACGTTAGTTGGAGTTGGTACGTGCTGGCTTGGCGCAAGGGCGGGAAGTAACACGTTAGTTGGAGTTGGTACGTGCTGGCTTGGCGCAAGGGCGGGAAGTAACACGTTAGTTGGAGTTGGTACGTGCTGGCTTGGCGCAAGGGCGGGAAGTAACACGTTAGTTGGAGTTGGTACGTGCTGGTGGTCGCAAAGGTCAGGTATTTCCCGCGAAATAGTCCCGCGCGGAATGGTTTCCATGGTTTCGGCAGAATGGTTTCCATGGTTTCCAATCGTTTTCACTGTTTTCACCGTTTACACGAGAACGAAAACGTTTTGAAAACGTTTCAAAACACTTTGAAGTGCGTTTCCATTTCGTTCCGTTTAGGTATCGTTTTCGGGCGTTGTCGTGTAAACGATAGTAGTAAACGCAACGATTTCGTTCCGCTTAGGTCCTACTTCGTTGTCGTGTAAACGCATATAGTTTTCAATCGTTGTCGTGTAAACGCAGCCTAAAGCGTAGAAAATGAACTGAAAAAATCCGTTTTGCCGGCAAGTGTGCTGGATAAACAAGTGCCGGATTAGAGAGGGACGACTGTAGTAATGATTATGGTATTTTACTACACCCTGGCCTGCTTCCAACTAATGATGGACTAAGTCCCTGGATGCTGCTTTCTCCAGAATTATCACACTCTCCATCGAACTTTTAAAGTGGGATTTCTCGAGCCATTTTCCCCTTCCTCATGTTTGATAGTGCAGTAAGGCATCCTTGATCAAACCTACACTATTCCCCACAAAACTCAAACTGCACTTCAACGTTACTTTCACTCTTCTACTGCTGTATCCACGTTTGCAATGCATGAAAGAAACTTCGCCTTTCCACAACAAGACCAATTAACAGCGAGAACTACATTATACAAAACATAGCGAGAACAAACTGCTATGTCTGACGTGTGCTTTCCAGCCATAGACCGCGTTGCTACTTCCTTGCTTCTACCAATGGCGTGTTTGTATGATTCTTTGCTTCTAACAAAACATGTGGAGTGCTATACAAATTATGTGCTAAACCTGCTGAGGCCTGATGTGACACTGCACAACGGCAGGTACGAAGCGGAGTTCCCTTGACTAGAAATTTCATCGCAAAATGGCCAATCATGAGACAAAAATTAATAGTCCACTGCATGTGGATTGGTTTCAGATACATTGTACTTGCAGGTCTGAACCAGGGAGTAGTACCTGGTCTAAAACAGGGATGGCTACAGTGTGCGATGTGCAGAGTTGCTCCTGTGATCAGTGGGTCTGCCTCTCTCGAACCAGCTGTGAACCAAGATCGAACTTTTTGAGGGGGGGGGGGGGTGCTTTGGCACCCAAAGCCCCCCCCCCCCCCTGCCTACGCCCCTGCCCTGAGCTACATGCTGTCTGCTCACTGGGCTGTCGTCTTCTTTGGTCAAATCAGGGTGGAAGTGCAGGGCGTCGAAACCGGTGCGGCAGTTGCAGCCAAAGCCGCATCAATAATTTCATCAATGCGATGGATAATTGTGCCGTCTTCTCACACGCATACACGCACGCGCGCATGTACACACACACACACACACACACACACACACACATACACACACACACACACACACACACACACTACTACTATTGACAGCTGCCAAGAAATGGCCACGCCGCTCCCCGAAGGGAGGTACTGTCAGAGAGTTTAGGGGAGAGGTAGGCAGTGCTTGAAATGGCGCTCCAGGTCCTGTCGCCTCCGAAACTGGCGTCGATTGCAGACTCGGCAATGATGTTCAAAGTGCTGGCGATCAGTCACTGTAGGGCGATTCGGGCGGGGTCCACAGCGATGGCGCTTGAGGCCAGCAGTGGACTTAAAAAGTACGCTGGCAGGCTGTACATACCGGGACCTCGGCAACAGGAGGAGCATCACTAGGCGGTCGGTCGTCACAGTTGTCACTCTCTTGACACTTATGCACTGCAAGCCCACCCCTGCTCCGGAGCCATCTACTGCAGGCAGGACACTGCACCGACCCAGGCTGTTGTGGTACGGGGAGGTGTCGGACTGCTGTGCACTTGTGCCTGGCCATGTCAGGGCGACGACGAAACAGGCGGTCGCAAACGTGGCACACAATCGTCTTCGGGGCACGCTCCTTCACACCCGCTGCTGCCGACACAATACCACGCCACTCTCCGCGATCGTTGGCCGATTCGAACCAATTGTGCACACCGGCCACAGTCAGATCAGCCCGGACAGCGTCCTTCCAGCGATGTTGGGGGCCGCAAAACGGGTGGGTTCGTTGGAGATGAGCGAAGAGCAACTGCTTGGGTAACCGATTACACACACACACACACACACACACACACACACACACACACACACACACACACACACACACGCACGCACGCACACACACACACACACACACACACACTTTCACTATGTTCAGGAAAGAACGCTTGGAAGTGTGTCAGGTAGATGCGTGCACTTAGCGCGCTTGGTTCTCAGTTTTTTTGTATGTGAGCCATACGTTGGACTTTCCCATCTTGCCACCCCACGTTTCAGGGACGCGGGGCCAGCATCTGAAGGCCAAACTCGCAACATAACCGAAATTACTGTCTCTAGTAGTGCAGCATGTGCATACGAGTCGAAATCTACAGGTAAAAGACCAAAGGATTAAAACAGTCGACGGCTGACGTCACACATTTCTTAAAGGGGAACTGTCACCAAAATTTTTCTTTGTCTTATCTTGTAGTTCTTTGGCTCCTGATCACGATGGTGTTATCCGTTTTTCTCTGCGATGGCTGGAAGTGGGTGAAAACTTGAAAAGAAGGTGCCCAAAATTGTCCCGAAGTACCGAGTGACGTCACGCCGGACTTGACCTCCACGCGTAGATTCATCGTCAAAAACGAAGTCCAGCCCGTGTGCTGATCCATCGAGCCAACTGTTCGATGTACGGTGCACGCTTGCCTTCTGAACTCGGACACTCGATGTGTACGTTGTACACAATGAGAACGCCAAAAAGGGACAAAATAAACAAAAGTCTACAGCAGTTTGTCGCACTGGTACTTCCTCCACGAAGCTCCAGCTCTTTGTTTTATTTGTGATTACGAAGGAGTCGAAGGATGTTTGTTTGCTGTTTAGTGTGACACACATACCTCGTACTTGAAAATTATGTCGTTGTATCGAAGGTGGCGGTGTTGTCCACCCGGCTCTGAAATGAAAGACATCAGAGTTTGTCATCTGCATCTTCAGCAACATCGCCAGATGAATCGCCTTCACGTACCTACATCGCGTTCCTTTGGGGCTCGGGTTGGTGGTGTTATCGCCGACCGGAGGAGTACTGTTTTCTGCATACGCACTCATCATCGTGTTGTTCCTCACACGAAAAGTTCAAAACAACGACGTACTTCCGTGCTCACAAAATAAAACTTACATCCTCGCGGAAGAAGTCAAAAAGGTGAAAGCTCAGCTGCTTTTTATTTTGATTTGGCTGTGTAGCTGCACGTGGGTCTCTGCCTCTTTTTCATTCTCCTTCGGTACGACGTACCCATCTGTGTTACAGATCAAAAGGCACACGTGCACCGTACATTGGAACAGCTAGCTCGATCGACCAGCACACGGGCTGGACTTCGTTTTTGACGACGAATGTACGCGTGGAGGTCAAGTCCTGCGTGACGTCACTCGGTACTTCGGGACAATTTTGGGCACCTACTTTTCACGTTTTCACCCACTTCCAGCAATCGCAGAGAAAAACGGATAACACCATCGTGATCAGGAGCCAAAGAAGTACAAGATAAGACAAAGAAAATTTTTGGTGACAGTTCCCCTTTAACACAAAATTTCTGCTCCAGTCAGCAATGTTCGCATGGTGATGGTGTGCATAATAATAATAATAATAATAACTCTCGTCTACGTTCCAAAGGGAACTCACGACAATGAAGCAACGAAAAGCACCGCGGCAGAGAGAGAAAAGAGAAGATAAAATTATTTAACGAAAACAATCACGGTGCATGGTGTGCATAATGCCATGCTATTTACAGTAACATGTGCGGCGTGTGTTTATTGTTTGTTGCCATAGAAACAAACAGGAACTACCAGAATACCCGCAATCTGCAGCCATCACCGAGAGGGATCTTCGTGTTGCGGACTTTGAGCGTTGCAGCAAGCAGTTTTTATCCGGGGCTTGGCCGTGCGACGTGAAGAAGGCGACAGAGGTGTGTGTGTGTGTGTATGTGTGTGTGTGTGCATGCGTATGCGTGCGTGTGTGCGCGTGTGTGTGCGTGTGTGTGTGTGTGTGTGTGCGCACGTGTGTGTGTGTGTGTGTGTGTGTGTGTATGCGTGTGTGTGTGTGTGCGCGTGCGCGTCTGTGTGTTTACATGCACAGTATATGCGTCACAATGTGTGTTTGTACATGTCCATCCGTCTGTCTGTCTGTTTGTCTGTCCGTCTGTTCATCAGTCTGTCTGTCTCTAACGGTAACTACAATCACATGTAAAGACACCACAGTGCCGTGGGCAAGTCTAAAAACAACAAATCTAGTACAACACCCTCTCTGTATCAGCTACTGCAGAACGTGGAGGGCGTGCATAGGTAACTGTCTTGGGTTCTATTCCGATGTAGAGTCATACCTCGTAACGTTAATCCGGGCGGTCCGGGACTGGGCACTGCCCGTAACTCCGAATCACATAGATTGTGACTGGGGAAAGGCCATAGATACGGCCGATGACGTCACTATGTCCCCAAATGTGACAAGAGAGTAGCAGTAGAGTAAAAGCTGGTGTAAGCGACCTCTGTGTTTAGCGACCACCTGCTCTTAACGACCGTTTCCCCCTGCACCGACAGTTCTACACAGACACTGTGGGACCAGGTTCTAAAGACCACCTGGCTTCAATGATCGCTTTTGCTTGCACCGTGCGGTGGTCGCTTAAAGCAGGTTTTGCTGTATCTGCACTGCAACTCACCCAAAGGATGCCAGGTAGGCCGAAATGTGCGTACCTCCGGGGTCCGGATAACCGAGGTATGAGTGTATGGACACAGGTCACGTGAGGTGTAGACATAGTTTGTACTGGTGATCACGTCATATGGCTATGGTGGCATGTAGAATGCTAGAACACGTCTAACTTAGGGTCCAAGTAAAGAAAAAGCTCGTGTTACGCCATAGATGAATGGATAGGATTACGTTGTAGCATATATTGTGTGTGTGTTTGTGCGTATTTGTGCGTCTGTGTGTGTGCGTGCGTGCGTGTGTGTGTAAGTGTGTAAGTGTGTGTAGGGGTGTGTGTGTGTGTGTGTGCGCGCGCGTGCGTGCGCGTGCGTGCGTGTGTGTGTGTGTGTGCGTGCAAGTACATGTGTACATGTGTGCGTGTGTGCGTGCGTGTGCTTGAGTCTCGGTGTGTGCGTGTGTATGTGTGTTTGTGTCTCGGTGTGTGTATGTTTGTGTGTTTTGTGTATACTTATATAATAATTACTTTGTGCACGAGTGTGAATGTGCTTCTGTGCCTCTGCATATGCCAATACGTGTGTGTGTGTGAGTGTGTGTGTATGTCTGTGTATGTGCATGCATGTGCATATGTGCACGTATGTGCATGCGAATATGCGAACGTGTTTGTGTGTGCACGGGATGTGTATGTTCCCTTTGCTGCTGGCCATGCTGTAGATCGCCTCTCTTCATGCTCACATTACATACGGAGGTGGTATGACAGTAAGTGGGTCAAGCTCGCTGCCAAAGAACTTGGCTGAAAGGTACGAGCCAGGCAATTTATCATAAGAATTTGTTCTGTAGGCATCTGCGCCTTGATCCTTGGGGGTGGTGGATGTCGAAAACTGGGCCTCCAGCCAAGTCTGACGCAAACGGTGACTTTTGTCTGACCTGCGAGCAATGGTTATGCTGGAGTCTATTTGCATCCAGTGTTGTGCAAATCATGAATAAAAAATAAATAAAAAATAAAATAATTCATTGTTCACGTGAGACTCAGCTGAAGGCCTAGTTTTCAGCATCCATAGGAACTCCCTCTATGGATCATGAAACAAAAGTGGAACGGAAATTTTCCACGTGCGCGGCATGTTCGCAGTCCTGGAGAGGCTACGTCTAATTCCTTCGGACACTTCTATCACTGTCTGGATTGACTTTTAAGGGCCTTGGCTTTGCCTACAGTCCATTCATCGGAAACTGTTCCGCGGGCTTTTGAAAGTCGGATTTGGGCCGAAATAAGGATCAAAAACCCACTTTAAATCTCAAAAATCTGGGTTTTGGATCTGCTTCTCCATACATTTGCCATGGCATACCTGTCCTAATTTTGTAAAACCTGGCTGAATTTCTATTTCCCTGTTCTTGGACTTTTCTGGCCTCAAATGTGGCAAGGAGTAATTGCACGGGTCACACAATGCAGGATGTACTGTTGTTTTTACGATATCTACAACTACAGTCGTCGCCAAAAAAATCCGGCCAATGCCAAGTATACGCGTACATACATGTAGGTATGGTAGGTAGATCTACGCACGCGGTACTTCATCGCGGGTTCATGCACTGGAGTGGCACATGCACTAGACTCTAGTCTAGCCTCAACTAGGCCACTGCCACTGCCACTGGACCAGTGGCAGTGTGCATGTGGACAGCACTGAACAGTCGACAAGTCTGCGCCACACTCTGCCTGCTGCAGTCGGGTTGAGCACTGCGCCGAGCCTGAGTCTGTCTGATCGCTGAGTGAGTGTAGAAGGCGACGGTTTCAAATAGGACATACCGGTAGGTTGCAAACCGGAACTGTCGTGAATATGCACTTTCTCTCTTAGTATTTTGATTAGAAAACATATGTCACAGTGAGACTACGATGTGTTATAACTTATACTCCGAGCCAAAATTTCATGGCTCTGCGATGACCAGAAGCGCCACACCAAGCAGGTGAGTTTTTGACGTGTTGATTTTTACGACTTTCGAAAAATCAACTTCTTGTCGCAGGTAAACAGCGGCTCGCCTCTCGCCAATAAAGCACCGCATACCAATCGAAACTAATGGAGAAGCACACACAAGGCTTATTATTATTCTGTACTGGCCGTCGTGGAGCGATAGCAATTACCTAATTTCAGACTAAGAGTGAATTTGACGTGCACCCTTTCCGATTTGGAGCCACCTCTGATGTGAAGCGAAAAACTGGGCAACTAAAAGTTACTTGGAGGCAATGGGTCAACACAAAGGAGTGGCTCAGTTCGATTGACTCTGGCCTCAGATCAAACTTCAACATGCCAGTTTCCTTCCACAAACATAATATTTCGAGTGAACAATCAACGCTGATGATAGGTTTGCATGGTTTGGGCCTATACAAATTTGGCTGACCTGTCAAGCCGTTCCGGTATCCACTGCACGTATCGAGCCGTTGCCTCTACATGGTGTATGCGGGCCTAGCCGGCCTGTCAGCATGTGAACAGTGAAGACATAACTGCAGTACATGCAGACCCGATCTACCAGTACCACTATGATTATTGAAGTATGCGGCCCAGTACAGCTATGTAGTATGCGGCCCAATACAGCTATGTAGTATGCGGCCTAGTACAGCTATGAAGTATGCGGCCCAGTACAGCTATGAAGTATGCGGCCCAGTACAGCTACCGGTAGCTAGCATTGCATTTGGCCGGATTTTTTTGGCGACGACTGTATGTGCGGGAGACACCGAAAAGTTAGGGTGCCAGCTTCCAATGAATGGACTGTAATGCTGTTTCATGATACGGTTTCTATGCTTTACCTTACCTGGCTGCAGACACAAGGAACTCTCTTTCACCTGAATGCCGCCAGGCATACAAATACAAGGGAGCGGCTGTGGCCAGAAAAATCGAAAACTGCTTCCGCCAGTCCTGTCCGTGGCATGCTAAACGGGCGGCGCACAAAGTCTCAGATAATTCTGATATTCCCACTGTTTATCAGTGGCTGTCTGTGTGGACTTGTGCGTGTGCGAGTGTGTGTGTGCGTGTGTGTGTGTGTGTTTGTCTGTGTGTCTGTGTGTCTGTGTGCGGGCGTGCGGGCGGGCGTGTGTGTGTGTGTGTGTGTGTGTGTGTGTGTGTGTGTGTGTGTGTGTGTGTGTGTGTGTGTGTTCCGCCGCATCTGTACCAGGCTGAAGGAGCTGCTGCCCCCTGATTTCCGTAAAGACAAGACTGCAATGAAGTTAGCTAAACAGGTGGGTGTTGCTGTAATGCAGAATGATGACGTCATTGTTATTGTCTAAAGCATTGCCGTAATTCTACTAGCCCCCTCCCCCCACTGGTTCACTCGTGTCTGATAGATTTAAGTAAGGGGAGAATGCTTACGTGATGAGATGCAAGGCACAGTGTATTAACTGAGGGATGCATGTCAGGTGCATAGCTCATGCATACACAATGTAGTCCGGTTACCGCACCGGCAAATAGCCATCAAATGTACGTGCATACTTGGGCCGTGATCGTTTGGTCGGATCCAGATCCAGATCCATTGGATCCACTGGATCTGCAATGATCGATTGGTCGAATCCTGATCCAGATCCTCCGGATTTGGATCCGAGCAACCCTGCCCCGGGAGCAGGGTTGACTGGATCCATCGGATCCAAATGTGACCTTAATGCGTATATGGCAGGTAAAAATCATTTTTCTACTCATTGTCGTACGTCTAGTGGACTTTTGTTGACTTTTCGTACGACGCGCGCGATCAGTACGACTTTTGCCTTTCTTGGGTGACCTGTCAGCGCCATTTTTTTACTTCGTCAACATGGCAACAGCCAAGGTCCGCAAAAAAAGTGTTCGGTTGATTCTGAAGGATCCGACGGATCTGAGATTTGGATCTGGATCTGGATCCGACCAAACGATCATAGCCTAAGTGCATAGTCAAAACAAGCAAAAATGGCGGCTATGAGGTTGCCGGTGGTACATGGTCACCACACCACAGATGTACTCTGGTACATGGTCACCACACCACAGATGTGCAGGCTACGTCCCTGCATGGCATTCACCCGGATTACCCAGTCGACCGATACAGGAGGTCACGGAGTCATGTGTGTGCCTCGGACTGCCTCCCCACCACGGGCCGCGCACGGCATGCTCTGTCGACGATCGGTAGGTCCAAACTTGCCAAAGCCCACTGCTCAAGAAACAGCAGGAGTTTGCAAGATGACAGTGTCGATTCGCCTTGGCTATCGTATTTTCCGGTGTACTACAAAACCGGATAATTTCGGTGGAGATTTATTTTCAGTAACCTCAGTACAGGACATTTTTACCAAAAAATAAAACGTGACCTGAAATTCAACATTGTCATGCCACAACACAGTTTGCAGAATGCATTCTTCGATCTGGTGAACTGGTTTACCGAAATTCTCGCGCCGCCGAACCGTTGATTTTGGGAGGTACCGAAAATATTACACCACCGAAAATTCCCGGTTTCACAGTGTAAGCCGCCCTTTGAACACTCAACGGATTCACACCGAAAAAGGGGCCCGGGTGCGGCGTATACTCCGATGATCAAATTAACGGCGATAGATAGGGTGGATGTCTGTATTTGCTGGCAGAAAATGGGGGGGGGGGGGCAGTTTATACTCCAGTGTGGTTTATACTCTAGAAAATGCGGTACAGTCAACTTGGCTAATAACGACTGCGGATATAACGACAATTCGCGAATAACGACAGCATTTCCATGCCCAGAGCAAAGTCCCATCCAACTGTAATACATATAATGAGACTTCGGGTATAACGACACTTCGCGAATAAGGACACTTTTTTGATGCCCCGCCGAGTGTCGTTATAAGCGAAATTGACTGTACCTGGTTTTGTTTTTTTGTTGCCGTACAAACATGCACTCTGTGTCCAGAACTTCACGCAGTTCAGCGGTATCACAGTGCCCGATGCGCAACAACTCTACACAGACCTGTGCAAGGGACTGCCCACGTACGAAGCCACGTTCTTTGCCGTGAAGGTGAGGGCTGCGTTGTCAAGTTCCCGTTGTCGCAAAGGAAACCCGGCATGCTCATGTCCTCACCATTCCACCCATGCGCCAATCAGGCAGTCGAGACCGGCATGTTTCAGCCAAAGGCAATAGCCTGTGTGGATTACCCTGGTAAAATAGAAACATGCAACTATTAGAGTCAGACCTCGCATAACCGCACACATCCGTTTTCGACCAAAATATCCGGATAAGCGAGGGAACCGGATAATCGAACACACAAACTGTATGTATGCATGGCAAATGCTGTAAATCGGTCACCAGAGATTTTCTTCCGGACGGCGAGGGATCCGGATAAAAGAGGACCGGATAAGCGAAGTCTGAATGTACTACTACTACTATTGATATGTACCTATTCGGAGGCTATTCCTTACGTCATGTTTGTAATACATCGCATTCACGCACGCGCGTACGTATTAGACATCTGGTTCTGCTTTTGGGTGCGCTTCTCTTCCTGTTGGCATTTCATGACACATATGTTTCCGTTCCCAAGTCTTCTTCTTCAGTATTGAATAAATAATAACGTATCACTTATCAACCCTACTCTTGTCAAGAACACCGTTTCCAGGAGAAGCGAAACTTGAGAAAGTACAAATTTCACCACCTCGTCACCACCGTAATCCGGACTCCAGGGCTTGAGAATCTGGTAATGGAGAAGGCGTTTTATAAAATGATAATCGGTGCCAATGTCACGAAATATTATAATGTATATCAACTGCATGACTACCGAAAACGACTAATTTTAGCGCCGGTGATATTCAAGCGATTTTAGAAAAAGGAGTGTTTTCACTAAGGTTTTCCACACCAATCGAAAGTTTACATGTTCAGTACTGTACTGAATAGAAAACCTTACACACACCATCTTCAATCCAAGTGGTCTCTTCGCTGCAAATTGCAAAAATTATCTCAATCAAATTTTCGGCCAGGAGCCGTCATCAGCCATCATCAGCCATCATCAGGATCCTGATGATGGCTCGTGGCCGAAAAATTTGATCGAGATAATTATTGCAATTTGCAGCGAAGAGACCACTTGGATTGAGGATGGTGTGTATGGTTTTCCATTTAATGAAGTGGCTGCAGTGGAGCTTGCACATTTTAACTACATTACTAGTCATCTTTCCTTTTACTCTGAAACTCGAGCCGATCAAGTGTCAAGTCAAGTCGGCGGAATAGCGCGCGCTCCAGTGTGGGGAGCAAACCCTTTTCTGAAACTCGGATCACTATAGTATTTTCATCGCAAGTTCATCCAGATTCAGAAAACGCTAAAGGTTTTAACCGCAAAAGTTAGTCGTTCTACAATAGTTCTGAACGGTGTGCTACACCTCCGTGTGTGTGTGTGTGTGTGTGTGTATGTGTGTGTGTGTGCGTGTGTGCATGTGTGCGTATGTGTGCTTGCGTGTGTGCATGTGTGTGCGTATGTATGTGTGTGTGTGTGTGTGTGTGTGTGTGTGTGTGTGTGTGTGTGTGTGCGTGTCCGTGTGTGCGTGTGTGCGTGTGTGCGTGTGTGTGCATGTGTGCATGTGTGCATGTGTGTATGTGTGTGCGTGCGTGCGTGCGTGCGTGTGTGTGCGTGTGCGTGTGCGTGCGTGTGTGCGTGTGTGTGTGTGTGTCTGTGTGTGTCTGTGTGTGTCTGTGTGTGTCTGTGTGTGTGTGTGCGTGTATGTGCGTGTATGTGTGTGTGTATGTGTGTGTATGTGTGTGTCATGCGTTGGCATCTACATGCCTCTCCTATCCCCTGCTCGTTGATGTTGTGTGCAGGCACCGTGTAAGAAGAACAAGAGAGCCGTTGTTCCTTGCATACTGGCCATCTCGCCGACCTGTATTGTCAGACTTGACTCCAGCACTATGGAGGTACGGATGCAGCCACATGCAGGTCTACCCTCGTTGGTAGCCCACCCGGGGGGGGGGGGGGGTCAAAACTGTTGTCTTATAACAAGTATTATCTGCCATCCAGACGTGAATGTACGCGTGTCAGGCGTCAGGGGATTTCGGATCGTTGTCTACGAATGAGGGTTGTCTTGTAACCTATGTCGTGGTAACCAGGACAGTTCTGTACCCCGTGTAGCTCAGCCTCAGGGGCAGGTTTTAGCACAATTGCCTGCACTGGAGAAGTCAACCTCATCAGGCGCGTAGCTCGTGTGCAGTCAGCAGAATCCGGTCACTGCGCCTGCAAAATGGCCGCCATAGACATTAGAACCGGGAATTTTCTGTGGTGTAAAAGTTTCGTTATTTCCCAAAATCAAAGGTTCGGTAGCGCGAAATTTCGCCAAACCAGTTTTCCACATCCAAAAATGCATTTTGCACACTGTGTGGCATGGCATGGTTGAATTTTTGGGTCACGTTTTATTTTTGGTAAAAGTTACCTCCACGGAAATTTTCCGGTTTTACAGTAGTCGAAATAGGCAAAATCGCGGCTATGAGGTAGTCGGTGGTACATAGTCACCACACCACAGATGTACTCTGGTACATAGTCACCACACCACCGATATGTTCTGGTACATAGTCACCACAATACATAATAATTATAAACATGCTACACCCCTGATCGTAAACAATCGTTCACACTCCTCGAGTCTGACAAGGCTGCAGATGGCGCCGCATTTGGCATCCTTGATAATTGCCCATGACGGTGAGCGAGGTTGGTAGCCACTGGTGACCAGAGCGGGGAAAGTGAAGCTGCTGGGAGTAACGTAGTCGTGTATAAAAGCCGCGGCTTGTATGACATTTTTGGAGAAATTTTGCAGGCTTCTACAGCGCTGGCAACTGAAATCCGACCACCCCCTGAGCGGTGGGCTCACATTCTAGCGGTCTCTGTTTCGTAGTTTGACGGTCTTTGCGATGTGAGCGTGGGGGGGGGGGGTCGGATTTCAGTTGCCAGCGCTGTACATGAGCTTTTTCTAATTGTCCGCAAACTCCAACACAGCCATTTACACATTCAGGTAACTTCACTTCTAAACTCCAAACTCCAAAAACGGTCTTTTCACTGCCATTCAAATTCAAATTTACACTACACCAAATGTTGGGACCTAGCCCATAATCAGGGTGTCATATCGACTGTGAATCATTACTCTGATGATAGGCCAGGCCCGAAAATTTGGTGTAAGGGCAAATTTGAATTTGAATCGCCGTGAAGAGACCGTTTTTGGAGTTTGGAGTTGAGAAGTGGAGTTTTCTTCTAGTCAGTGAGACAGGTATATCTGTGTACTAGTGTGTCAACACTAAAACCAGGCTGATGTGCGGACAGTGTATCTGGGATGACGACTACACCATAGCTCAGTGGTTAGAGCATCGCTGGCTACAAGCGAGGGTCCCTGGTTCGAGTCCTGGTGGTGACAGTCAATTTTTTCTTCAGACTTTTCCCGTTCGTGTCTTTTCCCTCAAACCAGTTAATACAGCGTATCTTGAAAATCAGGCTTCTATTCGACACAGGCTTCTATTCGACACAGGCTTCTATATGAAACAGGCTCTCATACAAACAAACAAAAATTCAAGGTTTGCATGAGACTCGGCTCGGCTCTCAAACAAGACACTACATACAGTGCACGGCAGGGAGGGCCCTATGGCTTGTTAGTGCGCTCCAGGGTAGTCAGAGGGCCGTAGTACGATATCAATAAGGAGCTTGGTTACGCCATTCTGCACTGGTTGATGTCCAGAGCCTGGACTGTTTGTTGATGTCCTGTGATTGATCTTTTTGGTTTTATTATTGGATTGGATTTGCTTTTGGTTTGGAAAGTCTGATTTGGGTTTTTTTTTATGCCATGCCGCAGGTTGTGTCGAAGTGGTCTTTGTCGGACGTGGAAAACAGCTTAGCATCGCCCACGCTGTTTGGACTGGTAGGTGTTCGTGTGTGCTGGGGCTTGTAACCTTTAATATAAAAAATAAAAAATATGCCTCGTGCTAGAGCTGTTATCCAGTTAGTTGCAGAACGTCAGTACCGTCGGTCGGTGTTGTGCAATGTTATCGCCTGAGCTGATTGCTTAGTAACTGGCGGTTTTAGTGGACAATAAGCCTTATAAAATCTTGTAGGACGCATCACGCAGCTTCAGAAGTAAAAATTGGTTGTGAGCAACACTGAAAGCTGTGATTGAGGGTGAGCCAGTGTTGCTCACAACCAATTTTTTAATAGGCCTTATAGCTGATTGAAAAATATTCTCTCGTTGAGCTGATTGCAGTACTCTCCGGAGAATAAGGCGCATTGGAGTGTCGACCATCGCCAGGTTTTGATACAAAGTCCAGGCATGGTCTACCCTGTGTATCCCCGTTAATTTGACCATCATAGTGCAATCCACACTGATTTGTTTAGGCGGACTACGAGTGTGTTCAAAGTGCGGCATAAGCGCCAGGAAATGTGCCAGTTCACAAGGCAGTGAGGGTGTGGGATGCATTTGTAACGGAATCACAGCCATTCCGTTCCCCGGGACGCAGGACACAAAGGACAAGACTGGTTTGTATTACATTATTTATATTGACATTAGGAAATCGAGACAACACTCAAAAGGACGAACAAGAAGACTGACAAAAGGACTCTCGACTACAAAATCGCGCATGCTCATATCACACATGCACGCGACTAGACGAGACAGTTTGGGGAATGCCATCACACAGGAAAACAACACATCATTTTACAACACCTGCCCCCTTGATGACATTCCACAAAATAATAAACCGACACCACGTTCCACATGCACAACAGCAAAAGGAACCACAGCAAAACAGAAAAACCAAAACCAACCAACAGCTTGCATTGTAGCACAACAAAACTGGGCCACGACACAGGGCCAAACCAAGACACAAGAGCCGACGCTCTAAACTCAGGCACACAAGGATAACCGAAACACGAGAGCCAAAGCTCCAACAAAATAATAACAATATGCGCGCAGCAGCGCAAAATAAATCTACAACACAAATTAATGCAGAACAACAGAACGACGAGAAGAGCAACATACCGACAACCAAACTCAACAACACAGCAACCAACTGAACAGCGAGAGAAACACGATCAGACAACACAGCGAGCAAAACAACAACAAGACGAACAACAAAGGACGACACACAGTCGGTGATGCCAGACTCATCCACTGGCCTCTGGCGAGCCACGGCCACACGCTCCATGCGGTACCTGCCGTCCCAGGCTCCAGTCCCCAGCTTCTGCCGGTCCACCACCTTCTCTGCCTCCTCTCCGCGTCGTCTTCCGCTTCCACCAGCTCCTCATCTCTCCTGATCACCTCCACCCCACGCTTACTATTATTTGTTGACGACGACGAACAGACTCATGACAAACTTACTCATCCTCTGCGTCCCGGGTTTCGGCACCACGTTGTAACGGAATCACAGCCATTCCGTTCCCCGGGACGCAGGACACAAAGGACAAGACTGGTTTGTATTACATTATTTATATTGACATTAGGAAATCGAGACAACACTCAAAAGGACGAACAAGAAGACTGACAAAAGGACTCTCGACTACAAAATCGCGCATGCTCATATCACACATGCACGCGACTAGACGAGACAGTTTGGGGAATGCCATCACACAGGAAAACAACACATCATTTTACAACACATTACTATGAATGTTTTCTCCGCTGTAGGATGCCATGGCCAGGCTTGACTTGTGTCCTGGCTCTCGACTGTGTGTGTGTGTATGTGTGTACGCGTGTGTGTGCGCGTGTGCGTGTGTGTGCGTGTGTGTGTGTGTGCGCGTGTGTGCGCGCACAAGTGTGTGTGTGTATGCGTGCGTGTGGGTGCGTCTATGTGTGCGTACGTGTGTGTGCGTGTGTGTGTGCATGCGTACGTGTGTGTGCGTCTGTGTGTGCGTACGTGTGTGTGCGTGTGTATGCGTTCACGTATGCTTGTGCACATATGTGCGTGTGTGTGCGTGTGTGCGTGCGTGCGTGCGTGCGTGTGTGTGCGTGCGTGCGTGTGTGTGTGTGTGTGTGTGTGTGTGTGTGTGTGTGTGTGTGTGTGTGTGTGTGTGTGTGTGTGTGTGCGTGTATGCTACAGAAGTTCAAACACTATGAGGAGTTGACTGTCATGACGTTTCAAGCAGAGCAGATCCAGTCAGTGTTGAACGTCTGTGCCGAAGAGTGGAAACACAGGGTAATGTAGCTCGCATGTTAACAATGCCGCGCTTTGTCTGTGCGGAGGCCGAGACCACCAAGATCGGCAGGGCAGCAGGGCCCCGCCACCACTTCCCGCATTCATTCGGGAGCATAGTGGACTTCGTAAAAAAAAATTAAAAAATAGGGATGCCTCATCCAGGCGGGCTACGCAGGGTGTAGCTGCTCCCCATTAAAGGGCATGCACGTCCGCTTTTGTGTAGAATGGCTGGTGCATGTCATTCATGGTCATTATGTGCATGCTGAACCTAGGTTGAAATTTTTAGGGGGAGGGGGGGGGGCATGTCTCCCCCCCCCCCCCCCCCCCTCCCCCAGGCCCTATGCGGGCAATGTTCCTGTATCCTCCTCAATACTGTCCGGCGTGTCTACTCCAACATCCACTTCTATGCATTACAGTATGACAGGGGTGCGTAGCTTGCATGGGGCACGGGGGGGACGACATGTGCCCCCCCCCCCCCCCCCCCCCCCCGTGTCCTGTGGGAGGTATGCGCCTGGCATGCTAGCAGTATTGATCCATCATCCAGCGGGCTTTATCGCGTGTCCATGTCAAATGTGCAGGTACCGTATTTTCCAGAGTATGAGCAGCACTGGTGTGTAAGCCGTACCACAATGTGTGGCACGAAATGCAGACAGCTACCCTACTTATCACCGCTAATTGGTAATCATACATGTAGTATATGTCGCACCCCCCCCCCCCCCTCCCCGCCCGGCGCCCTTATTGGGTGAATTTTGAGTGTCCAAATTGCGGCTTTTACTCCGAACACTTGGATGAGTTTGTTATGCTGCTGGCTATCAAGTGAAGACGTCTCCAGACTGCTAAGTCATCGTACGCGCACAGCGTTGCCGTCCGGCTAGCTGCTGCATGCATGCGCCGCACACCGAAAACGTATTCCTCGCGCTGACCGTTTACCGACTGAACTCAATGCATGTGGAGAATTGCGTCTTCAAATGTTTACCCTTGGATTTGACGTGTGCCTTTGGTTTCCCTGGGACAATTGTCATTATCTTGGTCATCCTGGAAAGCCCCTGGCAAGAGCAACACTATGAACCAAAACTCGAGTCCACGAAATGCACTGGACCAGCACTGAAAGCCAGAATCAAGAGAAATACCAAGAGTACAGAACAAGAGTGTGCAACTCCGCTCGGTTCGACCTACGGCGGAATGTTTTGTCCGCGTGCCCTTTCTCGGAGATCACGAGTCGTGCCGTACGGGGCGTGCATTGCGAGCCTGTGGCCGCGTGAACTCGGCATGGTTTCACTGAACTCTCACTACAATCATGGTAAAGGGAAGATGGAGGATTACGGCTGTTTTCATGCTTTGCGCTTGCTTTGCGCGACATGCGTTAAAGAGCATTTTTGACCTAAGAACAAGCTTCATATTTCTCAGAATCTAATTTCTACACTATTTTCTTCAACACTACTTGGGAGATCAAGGTTGGAGCTAAATTAATAACACGACACTATAGGGAGAATTTTTCGAATTTTCGGATATCAAATGTTGCTGCCTGCATTCGAATATTCTTTCTGGCAAGGGTATTCTATAAATATTCGAACAATTCGAATATTCGTTGCATCACTACTTATTTCTCATGATTCGAGTCGATTTGTGTCTCGACGTATGCTGGTCTCCATGGTCTGTGAGTGCAGACCTCTAAAGCTCTATGGTAATTTCATGTCATAATCATGTCAGACCCTGTGTTTGTTTTCTGCGGTCTGCCTGGCTAAACATGTGAAGAGCTTACATGCAAAACAACCGCCAAATTGGAGAAATTGAGATTTTGAGCTCAGTGTTATCATTACATCTAGAGCCGCTAGAGAGGTTTCGACCCGCGTGATTTGTGCTCTTACGTGAACGTCCATTTTTTTGCGTTGACGCGAGCTCAGAAAGAGCTTTCGTTTCACGTTGCTTGTGAAGCACGTCGTTTCTCTGACGACAGGAGCGAAAACTTCAAAAGTGAAAAAAGTGATTTTTGGTGAGCTTTAGACTTTGAAAGTAGGTTGAAGTTTTGTTTCAGTAGGGGTAGAGAAGTGTTGTGAGGCCGCGCCGATGATGGATCAATACCAACAAGCTGTTTTTGTTGCTGCCGTGGGACTAGGTGGCCGAGCTCTGGCCCAATCCGCTTCAAGACATCATGGCATGTCTTGAAGCGGATTGGGCCAGAGCTACTTGAACCACTTGAACTTGAAGCAGCTCCAGGGGACTCCTGATTTGAGGCAGAAGATACTTGACTCACACTGGCAGACATCGCGATGGAATGAGCTACGCTGAAACTAAGACGTGCAATTCGCTAACTCCTAGTAACTAATTACTTCCTCCTGTATCAGAAAGCAGAGATGCCAAGCCAAGTGACTTTCCTTTCCTTTCGATCTATGGCATGTTCCATCACGATGCATGCAGTCGGGATTCCTGCCAAAAGGCCAAAGTCGCACAAATATTATTTATAGCTAGTTTAGGCAAAATCGACAAAATCGAGTCAATAATCCCAACCTGATAGCAAGGCTAAATTTGCAAAAACTCGCGTTCACGTCGAACGTGAGTTGACCTCAGCTCACGTCATGAACGGGAGTTTCGACGCCAAAATTTGCCACACCGACGTGAAATTTCACGGTGTAGTGCAGAACAACGTGAAACGAAACCTCTCTATTTTCAGGCAAAATTTCCCATTCAAACTCTGATTAGGACCGCTTTAAACTGGTGGCCCAATGTTGATTTAGATACAAACATTTAACTCGGATACTGAGCCAGTAATACATGTAAAAAAAAAGAGAAGAAACACATGAGAACGAGTCATGCAGCAACTATACAAGATGTCTTAACTCGCTGAATAACTCAGTATCCTGTCAGTTTTGTGCCCTATTATCGCACTTTCTGACTGTTTATCATCTTGTTACAGTCGTGGATAGTTGCTGCATAACTCGTTCTCATGTGTTTTCTTCTCTTCTTTTATTTTTAGATACAAACTGCAAATAATATAATGAATCCTTTATTGGTCACTGGTTTGAGGGAAAGACGCAAACGGGAACAGTCTGAAGAAAAATTGACTGTCACCACCGGGACTCGAACCAGGGACCTTCGCTTTTGAAAATAAAAAATAAAATATTCATCGGCCATTATCCGAAAAGTGGCGAAATGGATATGTCGCGTTTTTGAATCTAAACTCTTCATGTTCTTGTGTTCTTCTCTGTGCTCTGCTAAATCTGCATTCTGTAGAGCCAAGCAGCCGCGGGCTATATTGACGTCACGGCAACAGTCGCGGATGCGCGGTGCGTGCCGTACTCGACTCGTTTCGTCAGGACTGACTCACCGCAGTCCGCCAGTGTTGATCGTGCTCTAGCCGGCGACTCCGGTGTGTACGCCGAGGTCAAGCCAGTGCATGCTGCTGCGTCAGACATCGCAGCGCACATGGCAAGCGTAGGTAGCGAGTCGTCGTCCTCGTCTTCGGCGGCGCTCTCCAGGGCCCGAGGTACGGCCGCCGACGATGATGTACGGCGTCCCTCCTCGAAGGACTCGAACGCATCACTGGTTTCCGGTGCGATGAGCCCCGGGCTAGTACCATCTGAGCGGATTGTGTATGAGATTTCGGTTGAAATTGACGCCTACGATCCGTACACGAGTGTTTACCATAGTGCCAACCAACACCAGAGGCTGATAAACGAGTATGACTATATTGCTGTCAATACCGCTGACACCAATACAACTTGTGCGGACACCATGCAGCCTGCTACTAGCAACGAAGTGATGACATCATCGACGTGTGATGATGTAGAGGCCGAGACACCAAGTGCATTTCCTGAAGATGCGGATGGCTACTTGGCCTCGACGGACTGGATTTCTCGCCCCCTTCTTGGAAACTCTGCAGAAGATGCACTGGCACCAGTGGCGCGGCAGCGAATGAGACCAATGACGTCCTCTGTGAGCCGACGGATGGCAACGGTGTTTGCGAACAGAGCATCTTCAACTTGCCGGACATCGGCAGAAGTTGATCTCCAGGACCTCTGCCTGTCCATTTGCAACCCGACCGCAGAGTGTGCTGATGATCCTGATCCAACGCCTGCGCCCGGCTCTACTTCTACGCATGGCCATCAACAGCAGAGTGCTACGGCTGTGTCATGCATGGACAAACCAACATCGTCCTCATCTGTTTCCTTTGCAGAAACTGCAGCCACGTCCAAGGCTGCCAGCTCGACATCATCCACTGCTGCTTTTCCAGCTTCAGGGCCGGAGTCGAGCTTTCCATCGCACATCTATTTTGAACTGTCACCCTTTCTACCCTCCCAGCTTGGCGCAATCGACAATCCTGAGTGCCTGGTCGAACTGACAGCGAACCAACACGCAGCCTCAGAGGTATATTGCGAAAGTGCCCACCGTGCACTGCTGTCTTCCCACGAACACCAGTCACCGGCAGCATCATCATCAGCAGCAGCAGCTACTGAACAACTCAAACTGCCCAAGCCTGTGGCAAGATCCAGGTCAAAGCCACCAAGTGCTGCCATTGCCACGGCGTGTCCCCAACGTTTAGCGGCGTGTGTTCAAGCGCCGCCACCGCCAGCAAGTGATCCAGGTAGTCCAAGCTCTAATTTGAAAGCAAGTCAACGCACCCTTCAACATGGTCCCCGTCCAACTCCACAACCCAGATCCAGAAGCGCGCATGGCATCACTGGCGGTAATACAAGTACTATCCACAGCCCGCTCTTGCAATATTAAACAGTCAATCTATTCTTTAGACGTACACGGACATCGACAGGAAAGCCATCAAGTGAAACTGTCCAGAGGATAGATAATATTATTATAGCAACCCTCCGCATGCACTTGATTTGTACACCTGAGTTTTTTTTCTATTTTTGAAGCCGCTACTTTCAACCGGGACGTACTCTTATTCTGTTGAAACTAAACTAACTCCTTTCTCTGCATGGCTTTCTGCAAAGTGAGCAGAACGCGAACGCAAATCCCTCTCCTGAATTCAATTGGCTGTGTTGACATGCTACGAAGTGCAAAAATATATACTTCAAGTAAATAAATAAATGATCCGCGCCTTTAGTAAGGGAATCCGTGAACGGAAGTTCTACTAATGCTTCTCCTGAATCGAAGGTACCAAACCAACGTTCTTCTAACTAAAGTTCATTAGCACACGAAGAGACGAAGAGACCGAGCCAGTTGTAAACCTGACTGAGTGCTTACTTATTGAAGATTAATTTAGTTGATTAGAGTCGTATAATACTTCTTCCTCCCTCTCTCTTTATTTCTGTTCTTGCCGTGGTTGGCTATCATCCCTCTTTCGCACGTTGTGTGTGCCAATTGGTCATGGACCACGAGTTGAGTGAAATACAATAAAATAAATAAAGAGTGTGATATCCCTTACTACCACCAAGAGTATGTACACTCAGACGTCTCTTATCCGGGCACCTTGGGACCGGGCACTGCCCATATCTCAGATTTGCCCGTATCTCAGGATAACTCATCTACCATGTATCATATCATTTTTGAAGAAGTTTATTTGGAACGTATTGCACATGTTCAGGATACAAAAGGAACCCATTGATAAAAATGTGTGGATTACATAGGTTGGCAGTGAAAAATAAGCACTTCCTCATACGGAAAAAAGTTCAAAACCCCCAAATTCGAAGCATTTGTGCTATAGGAACTCAAGCTGAAGGTGCCCGGTAGAGGGACGTGCCCGTATCTGAGGCGTCCGGATAAGAGGCGTTTGAGTGTACTGCATTAGGAAAGTCAACAAATATTCGGCGCATACGTATTTTTCGGCTTTTTTCGGCCTGATCATATCTCGCCGAAAATTTCTTGCAGCCGAAATTTCCTTTCGCAAGGCTCAGTGTGACTGTGTATTCAGGTGGCAGCAGTACAGGCCGAAAATTTGCCACAGCCGAATTGTTTTTTAGCCCTGGGAGGCCGAAATTTGAATGGGCCGAAAATTTGTAGGCTTTAACAGTAAGCCCCCAAGAGTGTGCAACTCCTCATAGGCTCATACCCTTTCTATGGGGTACGCCGACGGCAAAAACTCACATCAAGTGGTGCAGTGTCGCAGTTGCACGTTCCCAGCCTGTTTTTAGCGACCAGGGGAGTATTTTTTTATTTTATTTTTTTTTACTAATCACAAACCCAACTCGTAAAATAAATAATTATGTAATAAAAAAGCACTCCCTAATTAATTCACTGAGCGTATGCAAATCCCCGGCATTATCATGGCAGACATTCGGATTGGACACCGTGGGTTCAACTGGGACGGCATCCCGACGCCTCACCGAAAACACATTCACAGAACGACGTTTCACCGAGGCTCGGAGCAGTTGAGGCGGTCATTGTGAGGAAGCTGGGGCACTCTTCTTGTGATCAGGAGCTGCACTGTGAGGGGAGTCGTCGTCCCTGTCCCTCTTGAGGCTCGGTGCCTACAGTCCATTCAGAAAAAGATGATATCCTAGCTTTTGGCCATAAATGGGTCAAATTTTGAGTTTTTGTGACAATTTTGTTGGCAATCCCCCGTGGAATGCTCTTCCAATTGTGTTTTTGAAGTCTATTTCTCCAAAGAGCAAGCCATAACAAGAATGAGATTTCGGCCAGGTTTTGCCCCCACGTCAGGCGAAATTACTGGTCAGTCGGCAACACGCATTTTTCCCAAAAAAATGCGTTTCACCTGCTGGGAGATCGAGAGTATACGTGTACTCGAGTCTCATCCTGAGCACGTTTTTTCTTCCTTTTTTCAGCTCCAGTATAGCTGTATTTTTCATTGCAAACTACGGCCGTCCTCGATTGTTGTGTTCGTTGTTCAAACGAAGTGGACATAATCATTCAATCATGAAGGCAGAGGACATAGGAGCCTGATTGGAGTTTCTCGTGGCATAGGACGGTCACACAGAGACACTTTGGGATTTTCTGAACATAAAATACCGTACGCACGATGCTGAGATCAATTTGTGCGATATCAAATTGTTTGTGATCTACCACATCGAGCGGAACGGGATCTGATCCAAACACAAGCTTACCGACGGTTAGGCTGCCTACCTGACTGGATAAATGATCCCTGTCTTCACCAGACGCCAAAAGTCGGACACCATGTCCTTTGCCGCGACGTCCATCTCCAAAAAGAACTCCATCTTCGTCGTGAAAAGGCTTGAAATACTCAATATTCAACCGAGATTCGCGGTCTCACCCTTTCTCAGCTCATCAGATCGAATCATTTTTTGTTGTAGCAGTTGCAGGGCAGATCCCCGCCACTACTTCAACAGAGGATGGCTCCAAAGCATGCCTGGAACAAGCCATATCGAGGTTGCAAGCCACCCCTCTCAGCAAGAAATTCGAAATTTCAATGGTGGAAGATACCAAGAATTAAAGGGGAAGTTAAGGCAAAAATTAAAATTTCACCAGTTGTAGTCTTCGGGGTGCTGAGTCGAATGGTCGTGGTCCGAGGAAGCTGAGGCTGCGTTTACACGACAACGCTGGGGGTGAAAACGCAAGAAAATCCTTTCGGATCCATGGTTCATTTACACGGTACGAAGAGCAAAACGTAAAAGTTGTACACCAAAACGGAAGAAAACCAAAACGCTGGCCAAGGTGGAAGAATTTGAAAACGGAAAAGTTCTGCCGGATAAATTTGGGTGTGTAAACAGTCGAAACGGTATGCTGGCCTCGTTTTCCGTCACGTGTTTTTCGTTTTCGGCCGTTTACACGGATCCGACAATCTTTAGGGTTTTACGTCGGGCCCTAGACGACGGCTACTTTGGCCAACCGGACAACGAAGAAGTTGTGACCAAAGAGAATGATTTTATTTCTTGCGCATGCGTATGTAGAATGACGTAATACTCAGTGAGTCAGGTCGCTACAGTACTCCCCCGCCAGTGGTGAGGTCGGGAGGAGCGAAGCACGATAAACAAGAAACAAGAAAGAGAAGAGAAAGGAAAGCGCAGCATGTACAAGGCGGAACGGCAAAAATATAATAATATGATCCATATGTACAGGCGAGAGCGCTGCGTGTGTGAAATTTGTTAACATCGTGGCACAAATGCCGAAACTAAAATCAGAAAAGCAGGAAAGAGAGAGATGCATGACAGAGGCGGGTTAACGTGTCAGAGGTGTGTTAACGTGACAGAGGTGGAGAGCATGTCAGAGGCAGAAAGACAGAAAAGAGGAAACGTACGCATGACAGAGGAGTGTTATCGTGTCAGAGGCGGCTGCATGTTGCAGGCTTGGCGGGATACCAGCAGGAGCGCTGCACTGATGCGAGGCATGCGAAGTGAGGCGGGGACAGATGGAGGCGAGCGCAGCTCCATGGGGTCCGGTGCCGGGCGTGTGCCTGCGTGCGTGCACAGTGAGTGAGCTGGTACGACGGGTACTGGTTGGTGGAGGTGGCCAATTTCCAGCTTGAGGCCAGGACGAATACGGACGACGACGACTGGACGATGCCGTGGCAGGATAGCGGGGTATCCAGGTGGGCCGGGAGGGTGGCAGGGGCCACAGCAGCTCCGAGGCGGATCCAGTGACGAGTGGTGGTGAGGCTCAAGTTTTACGTCAACAGCCGGCGATTGACGGGATCCCGAGAGTTGAGGCGAGCAGGAAACTGCGGCGGGCCGAGCTCAGGGATGGCATGCTCAAAACTCCGAAGAGCGCAGCGTCGGGGGTCACCAATTTAGGGTTTTACGTCGGGCCCTAGACGACGGCTACTTTGGCCAACCGGACAACGAAGAAGTTGTGACCAAAGAGAATGATTTTATTTCTTGCGCATGCGTATGTAGAATGACGTAATACTCAGTGAGTCAGGTCGCTACAGTACTCCCCCGCCAGTGGTGAGGTCGGGAGGAGCAAAGCACGATAAACAAGAAACAAGAAAGAGAAGAGAAAGGAAAGCGCAGCATGTACAAGGCGGAACGGCAAAAATATAATAATATGATCCATATGTACAGGCGAGAGCGCTGCGTGTGTGAAATTTGTTAACATCGTGGCACAAATGCCGAAACTAAAATCAGAAAAGCAGGAAAGAGAGAGATGCATGACAGAGGCGGGTTAACGTGTCAGAGGTGTGTTAACGTGACAGAGGTGGAGAGCATGTCAGAGGCAGAAAGACAGAAAAGAGGAAACGTACGCATGACAGAGGAGTGTTATCGTGTCAGAGGCGGCTGCATGTTGCAGGCTTGGCGGGATACCAGCAGGAGCGCTGCACTGATGCGAGGCATGCGAAGTGAGGCGGGGACAGATGGAGGCGAGCGCAGCTCCATGGGGTCCGGTGCCGGGCGTGTGCCTGCGTGCGTGCACAGTGAGTGAGCTGGTACGACGGGTACTGGTTGGTGGAGGTGGCCAATTTCCAGCTTGAGGCCAGGACGAATACGGACGACGACGACTGGACGATGCCGTGGCAGGATAGCGGGGTATCCAGGTGGGCCGGGAGGGTGGCAGGGGCCACAGCAGCTCCGAGGCGGATCCAGTGACGAGTGGTGGTGAGGCTCAAGTTTTACGTCAACAGCCGGCGATTGACGGGATCCCGAGAGTTGAGGCGAGCAGGAAACTGCGGCGGGCCGAGCTCAGGGATGGCATGCTCAAAACTCCGAAGAGCGCAGCGTCGGGGGTCACCAATTTAGGGTTTTACGTCGGGCCCTAGACGACGGCTACTTTGGCCAACCGGACAACGAAGAAGTTGTGACCAAAGAGAATGATTTTATTTCTTGCGCATGCGTATGTAGAATGACGTAATACTCAGTGAGTCAGGTCGCTACAAATCAAAAAAATTGTTTTTATAATTTTCGTCATGTGACGAGTGTTGTTTTGTGGCCTATTCCTGGAGTGTGATTGGTGCTTCCACGACAACACTTGGCACATGACGAACTTTTGCGGATCCTTTGCTCCCGTGTAGACGCGCGAAAACGATACAAACGGAGACCACCTCGGATCAGCTTTGATCGTGTAAATGCACGAAAACGAAAAAAGAAATGCGGGACTGAAAACGGAAAACTGGCCGTGCGTTGTCGTGTAAACGCAGCCTGAGACGCTCCCTTCCTACTTGAATCCCAATCGAACTCGCGCACTTCCACCGAAACTGGGTGACTGCGCCCTACTAGATGGGGATTTGTATGCAAAATGTCACTAAAAGCGCCATTTCGTTCTTATAAAAGCACGGATGACCGCGATTGGCCCATATGTTGCAGTCTTTGGGACGCTGAGTGGACTGGTTTTGGTCCGAAAAGGCTGCGATGCGGCGTTCCTCCTTTATTCCCAATCGAACATGGTTGAAGAAGCGGTCACGTGCTCCTGCGTACACCAGTCACCTGGTCACCGTGCCTGCAGGGTACAACTTACTAGCCTGTTTGACCTTTTTTGGGTGCAGTCCTGTCACTCGAGTTGAACCCGAGTTGAACCTT